CAAAAAAGTGGGAGTATTACACAGCACAAACATTTTTATTTACATATTTGCAGCTATAGGAGAGAGGGCTGTATTAAATTGCTGTCTTAACATGGACTGAAAATATTTTCACTACTTTTTCCTGCAAGAATCAAAATGAAGTTATTCATAATATCATATTCAAACAAGTGATGCCTGAGCAAGTCTATGTTTCCAGAGACAAAATTAAATTTAACTGTTAGGTAGCTGTCATTCAGCATCTTCAAAATGAATTTATTTCTACTGGCTCAATAAGCAGATTAGGTGTAACTTTCAATTTTTTCTTGAAATTGAAAAACGTGGAAGCCAAAAAAGCAATAGAACCAGCACTACTGACAATACAAAATACATCAGTGGAGTCGGACCCTGTTTATAAGTGGTTTTAGTGGGATTCAACATTCAAAAATCTACTTCAGGTTTGAAGATTATTTTTTAATGACTGTAATTTCCCAGTGTCATCCCTCTTCCCATATCCATACACAGGAATCACAGTGCTGCCTCTTTTCCCTCAGGCTCTTTCATGTTTAGAGGCTGAAACTAACCAGAAAAGGTAACTGGCAAACCTAGGAAGGAATGACCACATAAGGATCAATGCTTACTGGTGTTTACTTGATGAAAACTTCAATCCTACTGTATCTACTCATGCATAATTTCATGCTGGTCTAGAGGATGAGCTCTGTGGGAGGCTACATGTATATAGTTCTGTGACCACCAGTAGCTTGACAATTTGCTTAGTAAGAAATGGATTAACTAAAAGTCATCATTTGTATACAGGGTGTCTTTGGGGATTTAAAGCAACAGGTTGGATTATGGTATATGCTACTAATTCACAAGTCATATCTGTATATGTTAACTCCACATCATTAGGTACTACACTGAGTAAATGGTGCAAAAAATTCTCAGTGGCATCATTTCCACAGCAAACTTTTCTAAAAGAAATGTCATTTAGAACATAGATGCAAAGAGATGGAACATAAACAATTACACTGACTGGCTTGATTGAATTTGCCCAGCGTACTCTTCAAAAAGATTTTATTTTCTCTGTAAACATTTCTTTTTACATTTATGAGAACAAGGTCAATTGAAAGTAGGTAAATGGTAGAGATGGACTTGAGTGTAACTAAATCTTTTCAGGGGTGGGGGGAAGTTCAGTGTAGAAAATATGTTTCTGAAGGTGGAAAACTTTGACAAAGAACTTCGCAAATTGGATACGGCCTTTGTAAGATTGAACCAAAGGTTCCTATTTACCTTCCTGACTACAGAAATACAATCTCTGCAGCCAAATCAAATCCTTCTTCTTGTAAGGGCTGAAAAAGTAATTCTCAGACTGGAAGAGGAATCAGCAAGTTGGTGCCCTCCTACTAATGATGACTGACTGCACATTTATGCTTCAATCTTGCTGGTATAAAATAAAATGCTAAGATAGAAATATTCCACAGAGTTAATCTACATAAGGGCGCCACCCTAAATGTCCTGTTTGCCTTAACTGAAGCGGCCACAGTGGCACTGCAAATCTGTGCTACAGTTGTGTTCTCACTTGTTTAATTACTCGGGATATTCGAATGTTACTCTTATTCTCTGCCAGTGAACTGTGGATAACCAGTCAGAGCTTTGGGCACAAGAAGGAGATGCATATGGGTAACCATGAGAATGCACTAGCAGACTGCTAGCACTTCATTTGAAAACAAAAACAAACAAACAAAAAGGTTCTTAGCCTAAAAGACAAAAGAACATTGGCTGTAGCAAGTATCCCTGACTAGTTCGCATTTGGGATGCCACAAGATGTATGAGTGAGGGAAAAGGGGAGCTGTGAGCATCCAAGCAATAATTCAAGGAATCTGCAGCAAGAGACAAACACACAGACAAGACTATACTGAATATGGCAGCATGCAGGTGCCAGGTGAGCCTGCACTTTTCCCTTCAGAAGGACATACTATTTGTAATAGACATATGTTTATGCAAATGAGAAAAAGAATCATGTTTAGTAGTGTACGTCAGTGGAACGACAACGCCCAATGACTTTTGCCTGGAGAAAAACTAATGAGAGATCTGGGTTTTGAGGTGCACAGAAATCAAGTGAATTACACCATTATTTAAAAGCATGTAAGCAAAAGTCCACCATCTTAGAGTGCTTTTCTTAAAGCTACCACTCTGCGCTTCACATTAATATGGTATCTCATTCATTTTGAAGGACATGAACTTCATTTTGACTGACTTGTTGCCTGTCAAGGAAATTCAGTGATTTGTTACTTTTACTTTTTCTTGAAGACAGCCATAAGTATTAATTGTTTTGACTTATAAGTAAGTGCAAAACCCATCTTGTACTTCATTATCCTGTAAATGCTTTTCTCAGCCTAAAGCATGGAAGTTACAAGTGAAGTTAATGTTTCATGAATTCATTCAGTTGTCTATTCTACTTATACTTGGAAGTGAGCACCAGCTTTCCAGGGCTTCTACAATAGTAAAAGAAAAGCCTGCGTAAAACATTTCATAAAAGTGTAACAGGCTTTTCAATGCTGGGAGATGTAAGCCCTTCACAGAGACTTTTAGTAACAAGACAGACAGAATGCTATTACATCATCTCTGCCAAGTTGATCGGACAAACTCCTAGGTCAGAAAGCCTATAAAGGGAAGCACAAAACACTGATAGCTTCAAAAAGAGACCCATTTCTTGGAAGGAAATTGGGAAAATGGAGGAGAAAAAAGAAAAATAAAAAGCCAGCAGTTTGTAGCCTCCAGCAGACAAAAGGCAACGACACAAAGCATTTTAAAAATGACCATGCTGATATATTCAGGGAAAGAATTTGATCAAAACACCCCACATTTCATTCTTTACAATTAAGCAACATTTTTGCTTTTGTTAATTCAAGAAACCTAAAATTAGAAGGCACAGAAAATAAGCAATAAAAAGGACACTTCCTATTTTTACTTTTTTTAACCACCACCCCCCCCCCCCCCAAACCCTGGCATCATTTAGATTTATTAGACTTGTGCGTAAAACTTGTCCATTGACAACTGACCTGATAGGATTAATATTAAAGCAGTGGCTCATGAAGTTTTCCAGAATACAATCTTGATGTTTTATTTGCAAACACACTAAAGAGCCAATACATTGTCCAGACATGGATACCCTCTTGCACCTAATAAATGCAAACACAAAACACAGCTCATGCTTCTATTTCAATACAACTATAGTTGTAACAGTTCTCTTCTCCAGGAGGATAAGAAGGTCTTTCAGACTACAGCCGCTACTTATTTTTGCTTTGTTTTCAAAGATCCTCTTCAGCAGGCTGAATATTCTCACACTAGCTCCCTGTTATCTCCAGCCCAGAACCTACTATTGTCTAATTGTGCCAAATAGAGCTACCCATTTTTGTTACAACTGTTCAAAAAAAATAAAGATAAGCATTGGCATTTACATTAGTAAACCCACAATATGAAGGCTTGCTTAACATCTCTATCAGTGACCTGGAGGAGGCGGCAGAACACACTCTTATTCATGAGGTTTGCAGATGACAACCGACTGGGAAAGGGAAGCAGCTGACACTTGAGAGCAGGGCTGCCACCAGGAGGGACCCAGACAGTCTGGAGGAATGGGTTAACAACAGCCTCATGAAATACAATCAGGACAAATGCCAAGCCCTGTCCCAGCAAGGCAGAGCCCTGCAGCCATGAGGCTAGGGTTGGGAAACAGCTCTGGGGGATTGGCCCTGGGCACTGGAGGGCAGGAAGCTGAGCCAGGGCCACCTGTGTGTCTGGGCAGCAACAAGGGCCAACAGTGCCTACGGTCACATGAGCAGGTCACAGCCCTGAGAGCCAGGGGAGGGCAGGGACTGTATCCTCTGCTTGGTGCTTGTCAGACCCCACCTGGGTACTGCCTCCAGTTTGGATCCCCAACACAGAAACACCAACAAAATGGTGGAAGATGAGGCGAGGCCACTAAGACAGTGGGGCTGGAGCCCTTGCCCTGCAAAGAAAGGCTGCAGGACCAGGGCTGGTTCAGCTGGGAGGAGGGATGGCTTCGGCAGCACCCAACAGCATCCCTGGCACCAATGGGAGGGAATGGAGGAGACGCAGTTGGGCTCTGCACAGTGGTGTGTGGCAGGAGGGCAAGAGGCAGCAGAACAAACTGACACACCAGAGGCTCAGGCTGGAGAAGAGAAAGAGAGAAGCCTTTTTCCCCATGAAGACAGCCCAGCAGTGGAGCCGGGGCCCAGGGAGGTTGAGACACCTTTGGCCAGGGAAGGTTTCACACCCAGACAAGGAGGGGTGAAGTCCTGAGCAGCCCGGTCTGACCCTATGGCTGAGCCTCCAGTGGTCCCTGCCAGCATGAATGATTCTGCCATTGTGTGAAACACAGCAGAACCGTTTCCACTAACACACAAAGTGTAAACCTAGTTTTGGCCCTGTCTTCCCTCCAAGTGGGCAAACCTCCTTTGGGCTTTTTCATATCAGTTAATTCTACCAACATGTAAAGAAGTCTTGGTAAATTTTCTGGTTCAGACTGTGTAACATATTATATAAATTTCAGTAGGTTTATTTATACTTACAGTTTCTAACTTGTTCTATCTTACAACTACTGAATTTATTCTGCTTAATATAGAAACATTTCTCTTTAAATGAGATACACTTTATTTTCTTGTTACTTCCTCCCACCACAGTAGCCCTCCTGTATTTCACCTCTGGAAAGACAAGCAAGCAATGCTTCACGTATAAGGTCTAAGTTCTGCTTTTGCAGAAGTAAACATGAATCGCTTGGTTGTGAAGACAGATATCTAATCATGTATTTAAGGTAGGCACATGCTCATTTGCTCACCCATTCCACTTAAAGACAACAAGAACTGAGCTCTTACACAAAGTTAATCACAAAAACACTTCACTTTGCTTCACGGTCAGGTCAATCTTTATTATACTAATCATGCAGCAGCAATAAGCAGCAACATCTTTATTGTGATGGCTTTTTACATGGGTGCAGGACTCACCCCTCCTGCCTTTAGCAGCTTTCTTCTGAATTCCTCTGTCGGGTTGTTGAATGTGAGCTTTTCACAGCGGAGGTGATTTACAGGTGGGTGGCCTTCAAGGTGCAGGAATAAGTCATAGTCAAATCGAACTTTCTTAGGTTCTTCCTGAGGGTTGAAAATAACCAGATAGAAACATCTAGCACCAAAACTAACTAAGTTGAAAACAAGGGCTACATAAAGACTGTCAATTAAAATGAAAATTATGTAATTTTTAACCATTCTCTATGTTCTCGGAATTTACCAAGCATCAGCGGAGCTACAACAAATCAGAGAAGCTCCTATCAGCCCATGATAACACATGGTAAAATGCATGAACTTCATGAACTTCAAGCTGTCCTGACAAGGCTTAATTGAAAGTGTTATGTCATGTTTGGCACAGGCTACAGACATACGCATAGGCAAGTATCATGATGCAGCTGACACAAGGTAACTCAGTCGCCAACACAATCACACTTCTGAGCCCTAGATAGTACTGAAGACACTGCAATAAGTTTTGAATGCAAATTCCTCCACCAAAGCCAAAATCTATTGTTTTCTTCACAAGTTGTAGAAAGGGGTAAGAATGAAACTGCTGCAGCCAACTATATTTGATCTCCTATGTATGGGGTCTGCTCATTTATTAATGAAACTTCATTGCCTTGAACAAGTGTGGCCAGCTAGATTTCAAGTATTCCACCACAGCTTCCGAACGATTAAAATTCTCTGCCACTGCCATGAAAAAAGTGAAACTGAATGTTCCCTGTAGCAATATGGAGAGAGAAAGAACAGGAAAGGCAAATTTACCTTGCAAGAAATCATTAGTGCTCTACTGTCCTGAGAAAGCGTCAGCTGAAAAAGGACGCTAGTGACATTGAATAGACTTCAGTTTGTAATACCAGAGAGAAGATACTAAGTACATTTTGTGTTATACATTTACACAGTCCCTTCTAGAAGCGGTACATAAATTAAGTGCTCTTTTAAGCCAATATTAAGTAGCCCTTCCTCCAAAGGTCCTGATGTGCAACAGAAGCCACCAAACCAATGTCAGTCTTAAGGCAGAACACAAGTAAAAGGTCAAATTCAGGAAAAGCTTTAGTAAAAAGGGAACCACAAGGGAAGAGGAGGAAGAAATACAGCAAAATCTTAGCACATATCCAACACTCCATGTAATCAAAATGTGTGCTCTGTTCAGTAACAGATGTTTAAAAAATTCACATTAAAAAAGTTTAGTTTTGATTCAGGATTCCAAGGATGTGAAGAACAGAAAGCATAGAAATCACAGTTATTCCAAAAGTTAAATCAGAGGTTGCAAATACAGCCAAGGGACATCCTCATCATCCCATATCTAGACTTGGAGCAGAGACAACAGGATGGGACCTGAAATAAAAGGCCTGCAGTAGTCTGTTTCTGAAGACAGAAGAGAGTAGTTCCCTTAGATGAACTATTTTCTTGATGGACCATTTTCAAAGGCAACCACGGACCAAGATACTTCTTACTGTTAGAAAGATTAACATATGATTTCTTGGAGAAAAAAAAATGGAAGTGATTTACTCCCCAGTCTGCTTAGAAAACTGTGATGCTGCTACAGGCAAACAGTTGGTACCAGCAGCTTTGCCATAAAAGCAAAGTTATAAGAATTTAAAAACAAGAGTCTTCAAAGAATTCCGTGGACAGTTAGATGAACGTAAGTAGTGGTTTCACAGCAGACTTTTACTATACAAATAACTCCCAGTACCACTGCCATTATTTCAAAACGGGGTGACAGTGAAGGCAGAATGTACTGCAGTTTATGAGCCTTATCCTTAATGGACTGCATTTTCCAGAGTAGGAGTCTTCTGACCTAAAAGCATTTTTTCAAGAACTTGGTCTCAATGGATAACAACTATAGCCTGCTGCTGCTGAATTTGGGAGGGGTGGTTGTTTATTTCCCTAATTCTTTAAAGCTTGGAATATTTTCCATCAGGGTGACATGCCTATTAGATTTTCTACCAATTTCTACTTAGTCCTGGGAACAGGCACCTTTTAATTCTCCATGGTCCAGGTGGCTTCCTGTATCCCTGCCTTCTCTATTCATTAGGGTACTTTCTGAATCAGAAATTGAAAAGTTGTCTACCTTGAATAAGTGATGATGGTCTGTCTCCTCTTCCTCCTTCTGTCTATCTCCTCTTTTTCTGTACTGGAATACCTGTGAAGTGGCTTAGGGGAGGAAGAGTAGCTGAGCCAGGAGAAAGCAGTAATTTGCCTCAGGAATGCCAGCTCAATTTTTGTGCCACTTTTCTTTTGTATTGTACCGACCCCAGGGAAGGGCATGCTGCTGCAGCTGTGTGAAGAGCTAGCTGACTCACAGTCCAACTGCTGCTGCTTGTCGTATTCCATGACACCAAAATAGGGGTGAGGGATGTTTGCAAACTTCCTAATTCCACATGCTGCTTGAGGGTGAGGTGAGTTGTAATCACTGCTGCCCTCTTGATCTCAGTCTAAGCCACAACTCCTGCTGGAGAACTCCTGAGACTTGCAGGTCTCCACAGTCAGCAAAGGCAGCGAAAAGTCTGAGTGGAAAACAAAAAAAGAAATGTTGGGCAGGAAGCTTTCTGTAGAGATGCTTCAATGATTGACTCACTGTCTTCTGACTTTGCCCAGTTTTGGGATGAGCTCTTAACAGAGAAGTTAAAGAGAATGGGCTGCTTCTCATTAGATTTCCTGAATGAATCAAAACAGCTTCCCTAATGGAGACAGAGCTAAAAAGCATACCAAAAAAGCCAGTCAACTCACTGAGGCAGTTCTGTTTCCTTTTCCAACAGCAAACAGGGTAGACTAAGCCCTGCTCTTCACAGATTGATACAGGGAACATTTCAGAATTACCTGTTCGAAACCTACAACTTAGGAAGTGCCTGAGCAGAATTATCCACATCTCACACCTTGACAGAGCTTTCTGTGAAAGACAAAAGAACACTGGAATATCTACTTGAAGGCATAAATAGCTAACAAAGTTGTACTCTAACACAAATTTTAAGTGACCAAGGTTCCAGCAAGAGTCTTGTACTATGCATTTCTATTTTCTTTCGGTTTTAGTTTTTCACCAAGCATTCAACACATTAAAAGATGTAACGCTGACTTGATTAAAATAAATTATGTTAAACTACTTCTTGGTAATATAAAATAAACACACAGGTGTCTTAGAAGCACATGCAAAGTATAACAGCAGCACCACTGAGTCACATGACATACAAAAGGAACCTAAAACATTGCAGTTAAGGTACTGTACCTTAAACCATGCAAGCTTTTTGCTCTTTAATTCCCCCCAAATCCAATTCTTTTTATCTGAACAAGTTATTAGTAATACAGACCCTGTTACGTACATTAAAGGAAATCTCTGTATTTGCTATCAAAGAGACCCACAGTAAGTACAGCATTTACTTAGACTCAGAATTTGAGATACCACAATAACACAAGCTTTGTAGAACAGCACTGGGTTGTTTTTAAACTGTGCCCCCTGGTAATGTTGAATTGAGTAGAAACAACGTTCACATACAGTCTAAAAGAACGTTTTTTCAGACTGAGGATGCAGGATTAACAAAAAAAAAAGAAAAAGACTGTTTTGAAAGATCAAGACCTGAACAAATTAGAAAGATTGGCAATACTAAAATAGAACAATGAGTTAATTATGAAATCAACATAATCAAGATTGGTTTCCTTTCTTAAAGTTTAAGTGGCTCTTGAGCCTTCTTTAAGCATTATTTAAAGTCTGTCCACTTCTGAGTAGGGCTATTAATTCTTCTGAATAATTACATTCAACTTCTTTATTTTATCAGGTAATCCTAATTTCATAGTTATCTACTAAATACAATTATGCATTTCTAAAAGTTAACAGTGACTTTGAATTGAGGAACAGCACTGTTCACTGACAAAGCACTGACAAAGATAGCTTTAAACCTAATTTTTAAGTGAGTTTATGAATTAAACTGTAATAGAAAACCCTGACTTCCACAGGATTTTTTTAAATTTTGGTTTTGTTTTTTTTTTTAAATGAAAAGTATGCGATTCCATACCTTGTTTTTGAAGTAAACCTCAATTGGTAGAATGAAACCAGCATACCCAGATTCTTCAACTTTGTAGGGTGGATCCTTGCACACTGAAACAAAGAGGAAAATCCTGTATTTAACACAAAAAAATAACGTTGTAAATGCACAAGCAAAACATATGAGCAAAATAATCTGCAACAATAGTTCTATGACAGCACTATTACAAAACTGCACACACACAGTAGGACGTAACTGTGCACAACTCAACGTGAATTCTGCAAGCAAATCGTTCCTGCCTGTATACAACCCTACAGTTTAAGGATAGCAAATTTTTAATTTTTTTTTTCTTTTTCAATCTTTTCAAACTGCTAAAGCAGAATCAGCAAGGACTTCAACACCAGGTGGACCCACTGAGTACCTAAAACAGCTACATAGGCACTGCAGCCAAGGCTTGTTCTGGGAATGGAAAATAGAGGATTTCACCCTGAGAAAAACATGTAGAGGGCAGAAGAAGTGCCATTCATGTATTCATAACCCAATACTAATAAAATCCTAATTCTAATAAATGTAATTTAAAATAAATTCATTTAATTAGAACTAATGCTAATAAAATTGAAATCTGTATTATTGAGGGGAGGGGGGAACACAACACAACATTCCAGTATATAGTGAGGAACCTCAGGAAGGTTAACTGTTGTATTATGTTAAAACAGTATCCAGGTTTACCCTATAGGATTCAGACTTCTTTAACATGACAGTGAGTATTACTAGCTCCAATATACAATCTTTGCCTTCAAGTTTTCAGTTTAATGCAAGGGCTTTTAGTTACATGAAAACCCCATAGTATTGAACATGAGCTCTCTGAAGAAAGTGGCACTAGCCTGCCAACTCCAGCCAGTGACAACAAGCAGGTTGTTAGTGAACTTGGAACAGAAGCTACCTCTTCTTTCTCCTGTTTGGCTACATGACAGCCTCATTACAGAATTCACGCCCAAGTAAGACAAGCACAAAGGTAGGCTGAGCTTGGGAAACCATGTGTGTCCTGCAGCATCAACTCAGATGCATCCAAATGCTGCATTGATATGTATGACAACTCATGTCATATGCACTACCATCTCACTGACATCATAGGACAATGACAGTTTCTCTACTGTAGACTGGTAGAATGATGCAATTCATACACAAAGGGTTGACTCCTTCAGAAACATTTGCTCAAGCTCTATCAATCTTGCGGACCAAAAGAAGATTCAGACTCCCAAGATGGATCACCATTTGCTAGGATGCATGCTCTTTTCAGAATTGCCTGGTAGCTGCTCACTGCACTGTATCGGGTGCAACTTAAACTATACTTTACAAAAAGTGTGTCTTGCAATCAACTGTGCAGGGCCTGAATACCAAAAGTATTCTTTTTAGCAAAGCACCACAGATGGGCACTTACCACCCTCTATCATCCTGAAAACGTGACAAAGCCCATCAGACACATCCAGGAACATAATCGCTGCTACATTCTCAATAGTATGATCAGTACGCCAGCTTTCTGAAGACATACAAGCTTGGTTTAATCCCCAAGTAAATGAACACAGCAGAATTTTCTCCTACTACTTTGTCATTCTCCTCCTGCTCTGCTAGCACCAAACCCACTCAGGGACTCCAAGGATGAGGAAGATCCAAGTCCTTGCTCACCTACTGCAGCTGGTTATCACTACCCAGTTCACTTCATGCAATCAACGGAAAGGGAAAAGGACGACAAAAATGGAGCAAGAATAATCTCTTTTCCAGACTCTTATGCAACACTGTTCTTTTGCAGCTACAGAATCTAGTTTGTTTTTCTTGGCAGGAAAAAAGAGGACATATAGTTTGTAAAGCAGGATTTTAAAGATTTTGAAAAGTGTCAAATCTGAGAGGTGGTTTCAGCCACACAAAGCTTTTAAGTTGGAAACTGAGCATTTTGTGTTAGAACCTCCCAGAAGTAGTATTTCACCTTATATTGACATGTCTTAACTTAAGAGGGCTTACCAGCATTTGAAAAATGTAAATATAATAGTCCTAGTTAAGCACAGTGACAGGTTACGTAATACATACTGACAACTTTTTCAAAGATAGAGGAGCCTTCCTGCTCTTCCTCTGCCTTCAGAAGACAACTTGAAAAGAAAGCCTTCCCAGTATTATTTGAATGGACATGCAGGGTTCGGAAGACTGAAATCCACTTATATAAAAAGAGGGAAAGATTATACAGCAGATATTTATCCAGATGGAAACATAGAAACTTTAGAAACTGTAATAATACATTAACTGTTACAGAGATTTCAGGCTCCATTACGTGACATGTCACAAATCGGCTTTTTTTTTTTTAAATAAATATCACATCAACTTCTTCCTGAGCACTTAATTGGTGCAGAAAACACTGTCAGCATAAATATTTTTCATTCTCTCCCTCAGATCTCTCTTCTTTCAGATTTACACAGCTGTTAGCCATGCTGAATAGTACCTTGTCAGTTTCACATTACTGTTCTGAAAACAAAAGTCTGTTACACTTGCAGGCTTTGTTGAAACTTGGGTGATGGGTTACAAAACACTTAATCACAAGGAAACTACTTTGGGTGCCTTCCCAAACTGAAAGATGGGCTTTTAATAGAAGGAAAATTCTACAATGTCATGAATGAAACCTTCCTGAAAAAAAAGTGACTGAGCAAAGCTCCATGCTACTGTGTATGTGCAGACTGCAACTAAAATGAATGCTATTACATTTTCCTCACCTTTCTTGTGGAAGCCGCTACTATATGTACTGGCAGAAGCAGCATCTTTGTGCACTCTGAACCACCACCCACTGGCATAAGCTTTTTTTGTTTTGTTGAACTGTTTCAAGTAGTAACCAGGGCTGCAGTGATGTGTGGTTTAGCCAAGCCAACAGGCAACCATCCTAGCAAGGTTTCTTGAGTGAAGAAGAGACATGTGCAAGAGTTAGATAAACCACAGAAAAGGTAGAGAGAAAAAAAAATAACAGGACAGGAAAAAAAAAAAACTGTAGCAGAAGGAAAAGAGAAACAAAAGCAAACTGCAAGTGTAGACCAACAGCGCAAAACCAACAACAGAAACCAGGAAGGAGTGATTCTGAAGAAGGAAGCACCTGGAAACTCAAACATGCTTCTCAAAGCTCATTAAAAAAAGCAGCTACACTAGACCAGGTAGATAAGCAGAAAACACTACCCTCCTACAAACAAATAAACAATTTCCTCCCCACCCAGAGGGACAGAGGCATTTCCCCAATGACTTCTCCTCTCCTTTGAAGTGGCACATACAAATGCATTTCAAGCACCAGATAAACAAAGCCTCTTGCCCAACGTTATCACCAAGACTTAATTATCTTGGTCTTTTTTTTTTCCTATGGAAACAGCTTGTATGATCACAACGCATTTCCTCCCTCTCTCCTAAATCTTTTGACTAGGTGGTCCAAATTCAAGACAGTCTCTATGACAATTAAGCCCCTAAAGATTCCTACAGACCCAGTGAAAAATTAGTGCCTGCACCAGGAAGGCAGTTCCAGAGAACATCTTCACAGAGATGCAGGGAGAAACAGCCAGCAGTATGCAGAATTACAAACCAGTTACAACAGTGTCTCTTCTCATGAGAACTGTAGGTCCAGGAGAAGAGAAGTAAAGAGAAAAGCAAAAGTATGCAGATTTGTTTAGGCCCACTGGCCACAGAATAAGCTGGGTTTTTTGGTTACCTGTGGAAGGCAAGGTAAAGAGTTCATGATACTGTACTGTTACCGTATCTTTGTCAGACTGCAGGATCGTTTCTCTTCTTCCATAAAATGAAAGCTTTAATCTTAGGTATTTGCAAATGCATTTGCTAAACACAGATAGACCAGCCCCCTAAAGCAATTTTAGGTGCAATTTTGAAATAAAAATAGGAGTTCATGCAACGCAACTATACAGCCGAAGTCCATCCCTTCTGTTCATCATGTTTCATTGTACTTTGGGTTGAACATTGCTGTAACAAGTAACACTGATATGTTTGAGGCCACAGAAGGGAACTCAGATCAAACAGGGCTCTAACTATAGCAAAAGCTGTTCAAATACTGCATAGGAGCTTGAACTTACATGAAACTAAAAGACTACACAAGCTGTTAAAGGATAGAGGGAAGAGGGGAAGGTGTAGAAGCTAGAGCAGAACAGTTCAGGTCCTAGGACAAGAAGTAGCTGTCATAGGACAAATGCTGTATTTCCATAATGCTGGGGAAGCATACACATGTACACACATGTAGAACTGCACATGTACTGACTTCCAGTACTGTACATACCTCAGGTGCTCACCTACAGTATACTGTCACTTAACTTCCCTTGATAGAGGACTATTTAGACACTCAGCTGCAATCCTAGCGGTATTACAAACACTTCACAACAACAGGAATAGTCAGAAGCATATTGGCTATGCTGATCCATTCATTTTGACCAGCCTTCCCATAAATACAAGTGCAATAATTCGCAGCTGATAAAAATTATGGAAATGTTCCTCAAACAAAACATGCCTGCCAGAGACCAACTGCGAGATATTAATGTGCATCTTTTAATGAAAGCTCAGAAACAAAATTATCAGTACTAATACACAATTTTATTAACAAGGATTCCTCCTCCATAAGATGTCAGTATCCGTTTTGGTCTAATTGCCTATTATACTCATAAGAAAGAGTATGCGAATGCTCAATTCTCATTCAATGCACTCTACAACTAAATTCTTTTGATAATGCCAGCATAATGATTTACCCAAGGTCACAGTAAGCCAGGACAGGAATTTACGAGTTGTAGATTATCTGTCCCCTACTTGTCAGCAAATATGCCTTCTCTACAGCTCACATAAATGGCTTAAATTATTTATCTCAAATGTTTTGCTTCTTTACGCCACAAGTGAAGCACTGCTTTTTCTTTTATTGTGTTCACGCATGCATTCCCATGTGTTGCATCAGACATTAACTGACACCTAAAGAACAGATACAAATCGAGCCATGATGATGCATTTTAGTAACAGTGACCACACTGAGGCCTTTGGAGATAACAATAACAAAATTCTAGTAAGAGCTATCCTTTTTACAAGCTTTAACATGAGATTCATTTGCCACTCCAACACTGTTAAACACTGCATTGTGCATAGATTTCTTCTTTATCAAAAATGCAGTCAGAAGGAGTAAGGAAAGGCATAAGTTCCTTTTAGGCAGATACTGACACAACAACATCAGTACCATGCAGAATAATGACTGTAACAATTCACATATATTTTGTATACCTTGCGGGATACAGTAAGTGGGTGCTTGGAGGAAGTGAAGCCTTCTGATAGAGAACTGGTTTAATCGTAACTTTTTTGTACTGGTATTTTATAGATTCTTGCCTATAATTTGCTCATACTGGTCACCCTTCGACCAATTCTTCCCTCTATTCATCACCATCTTCCTTGAAAGAAGTCTCACAACAAAGGGGTGGCATTCACTTTCAGAGGAAGGCAGATTGTAGTACCAAATCCCTCCTACAGTAAGAAGTCAGCTTTAAATATTCAGCTGTGATTTCTATAAAAGCCCTTTGACTGCTACTCAGGAGCTTACCTTCCCAGCTGGTGGGCTCCAGTACTTGGACTCTACACAAAAAGAGGCAGGAAGAGAACGGGTCCGTTATGCCCTACCTTCAGGCACACCTCAGCCATTAATACCAACAAATTGCTAGGCAGGTTCAAACAAAAGCGAGCAAAAATTACTAAATTGAGTGTGGGTTAAATGGTACCTCCTACGCCAGGAATAAGGAGTTCCGTCTGCTTAACACCTTACACTGACAAGTATTTCATGAGACAGATACAACCCTGAAGCGAAAGCACAGAGGGCACTAAGAGAGAACTAAGACTGAGCTTTCAGCATTGCATTTACAATCATACTAAGTTCCCTGCCCCACATACTGAATGCCCAGATTCCCACCACTTCTACCAACTGGACAGGGTAGCAAGATACAGCTTATAACCCCTTAAAAAACGTGAACCCTAACTTTTGGCGTGTCATTTTCTGTATGCAATCTCTACTCCCTGACCATTGGATAGCTTCCATCAATTGAGATCAATCTGATACACAAGACAGGAGGATGGGGAAGGGGAAAAACCGCCATCGTGCCCAACAAGGTTTTCCAAATCCAGGTCTTACTGGAGTACTTAAATCAGCACTGGCCTTTAAACATTTTGAAAAGACCAGCAGAGAGAGTAGTAAACACCCACTCACTCACAATCAAATTTCTTATCACTTCAAACAAAAACAGACTAACAAAGATAAGGTTTGTTTATGGGGTTTTTGTTTGTTTGGGTGGGTTGTTTTTTTTTTTTTTTGGGGGGGGGGTTAGTTGCTTTTTGTTTGTTTGTTTTTACACAGTTAGAAGGCCACATGTGCACTCCTAGCTCTTCCTCTTAGCACATGAAGACAGCAGTAAGACTTGAACACACAATTCTGAGTTTCTGAAATACA